ACTCATATTCGGAAGTGCACTCTTAAATTATGAAATATTAGCTCTGATTATTTTTGTGTACTCATATTCGGAAGTGTAGGGGTGATTATTTCATGTCAAAGGCGAAGATTGGTTATTTCTTCTCCACTATGAAGATTATTTAATTATTTATTTCTTTTCAATTTGGACTATTTCTTATATCAGTTGTTGGGATTTGTGTGCTTGACAAGTGTTAGGTTTTCAAATGTGTTATTTGATTGTAATTGTCTAATTTAATATATTTATTTCATATTTGTAATTAATCGCCTATGGAATAGCCAAATCACAATGAGCAATGTAGGATGTCCTCTCTTGTGAAAGACTTGTAATTGCATTATCAATTTACATATATTAAAAAAAATAATAACAACAATATGTTATTCCTAATAACAACAATATGAATAACAAAAACAAGTCCTACATACATAGAAAATTACACAAACATCTATAAAAAAATAAAAAATAAATAAAAAAATTGCAATCAACTTCCAAAACAAAGATAACTATACACTTATGTCTTTATTATCAATTTAGTGGGGAAAAAAAGGTACACAGTTAAAAAAAAAGAAAAAATAAAAAAAAAGGCACACATAAACAAAATCTAAAAAGAAAAACAAAAAGCCTTAAAATAAGTTTGGACTATTGGATAAGAGAGTAAGACTAACCTTGCACCATTACATTTGGAGAGAGTTGGCCCTAGAAAAATTAAATAGAGAAAAAATGAATCACACGGAAACAAAAATTTACATAAAAAATATATTAAAGAAAAAAAAATTGAACTAATAACAAAGAGTGAAGAGAGAGACTAACCTTTGCACTATTACATGGAGAAAGCCAATGGTGGAGTTAGGATTTTGATTCATGAGGGCACTATTAATCCTTAGCCATATCAATTAAAAAACTTAACCAAATTCAATTTTTTATATTTGGTAATTGAATGACCAAAAATCAATGTGATGTTGAAATTATGTGTCTTAGATATGTTTTAATTAACTGATGCTTTTTTTTATTATTATTTTCTATTTTAGTTAGTAAATATAATGATAATCACAATTTAAAATGTAATAACATGTATACGGAAAAAAAAGGTAGATGTGGAGAAAAACAATAGAGAAATGAGAGAGAAAGAAATAATTATAAAAGAATATTTTGATAAAATTAAACGTTTATAATGGTAACTTATAAGTATGAATAATAATATAAAAAAAGTCTTACATACATAGAAAACTACACAAATATCTATATAAAAAAAAAATTGCAATCAACTCCCAAAACAAAGATAGCTAAACACTTATATCTTTATTATCAATTTAGTATTTAAAAAAAGAAAAAAGAAAAAAAAGAGAGTACTCAGTTAAAAAAAGAAAAAAGGCATACGAAAATAAAAATCTAAAAAAAAAAACTCGAAATAAGTTTGGACTATTGTCTAAGAGAGCAAGACTAACCTTTGCACCATTACATGATAGAGTTGGCCAATTTGGGAAAAATATTGAGTATGGGGTACATCTTAGAGTTTTCAGAGTTTTAAGTTTTATATTATTTTTATTGTTTTAATTAGTATTATTTTTAAAAAGGGTGAGGGTGGGTTACTATATCGTTTTAAATTTTGAAATTCAACATTATTAGTTGAATTGTTTTGATCAATATTAATTTTAAAAAGGGTGACAGTGATTTATCATATTGATTTGAATTTTGAATTTTGAAAATATAGATAATTAGAATCTTTTTATTTATTTTTATTTTAATAAACTAACCAATAGATTTTTTTTTAATTATAAAAATCAAGAAATTTAATTTGAGAACTTGGAACTCTAACATCTTTTTTCATTAGTAATTCTATTTTTCTTAATATATAGTTTAGATATTTCCAAAATATTATATACTCATATTTTTCTATTTCCATACCCGGCTCTTTTGTTCATTGCTCGAGGTTAGATTACTTGATTAGTATTATATCATAAACAACAAGTAAACTACATTTGTAATGTTAGCACATCAATCTCACTAAGGAAAATTATACAATAGTTTTTTAGTATCACGTGACTATATTCTTTTACCAATTATCATTCATTATGCATTCTTGTATTCTCCAATCACCTAACACAAATAATCAATACTCTACTTTCTTCATAAATCATACTATCATGGAGCACCACATGGCCGTATTTCTTGACCACCCTCTTAGTAAAATCTTTTGTTAAGTTTTTGTAATTGACAATTTCGTTTGACAAAACTCATTTCAATTATAATTTTATTCGCTTTTTTGTTTCAGTGAGGCTGTGAGTGTTTAGATGCGAATCCAATCCGAATTGTGTTTTTGTAGAGGAGTTTGTATTGACATTCTGTATCTTGAGCATTCCTTGTTTCTACTTCACTGACTATGTACGGGGATCACCCAGGTGGGGTCGAGCAGCAACGACCCCAAAGCCAAAGTTATTTGACAATTCGAGCGGTCATTTGTGTGCTCGAGCGATGAAGTGGTACATCCAGTATTTCAGCTCGTATTCAAAACTTTTGGAAAACTCATTTTACTGCTCGAACAGTAGAAGTTGCGCTTGAGTTGTTGACCTATATATTTTGCACTGCTTTTACTTACACCGCTCGAGCGGTGAAGTGTGCGCTTGAGTAGTCTTCACGACTCTGTTTTCTATAAAGTGTATTGTTTACTTGTTTTATGGTTTAAACCGTCCAGATTCTCAAAGAGGAGTAAAATACAAAGTGTTTTACATTAGAGGGTGTTTTTATATGAGTTTCCTTGATATATAGAAGGTGATCGATTGATCAACGAATTACAGAATGTCAAACATCAAAGGTTGATTTGGTTATTTTATTCACATAAAGAGAGATGTTCTTCAGTAGATTCCAGAAAACTTAACCTGAAATTTTAGTGGATTCTGAAGCAGCTTATCGTCGTGAATTCGACATCAGTGTTATGGATTCAACGTTAAGCAAAACAGTTCTGAGGTGAAGATGGTGGTGGAAGAGGAACACCGGTTTTGGTTCAATTCAGAGGTAAATTTGCTAGCTAGGTAATTGAGGGTACTCATGTGTAATTCTTTTTTATCTTCTTAATAGATTATTTTGTAACTTTGGCTCATGATTTTTATCACCACGATTGTGATTTTTTCCATATTAAATCGTTGTGTCCATTCGTCGTTAATTGTTTAATTGGAATTGATATTCACTATTTTAAAATTAAAATATAATTACGAATCAATAACTCGAGAGTTTTTCAATTTTTTTTTTCTCTCCATAATTTTAGTAAAAGACTTAAAGTGTTCTTAAAATTTAAAGAAAGTACAAAATCTGAGGAGTTTTGTTATTTTTGTGGTTACAAATAAATATTCCTTTAAAAAAAATAAAATAAAATAAAAAATGAGATAAAAATGTGTGGCCACAACATGTGCCACTTTGTGGTAAATCGAACCAAGTAAAATGACTAAATTTGCCATCTTGATGATATTCAATTAAAGTTAGGGTTCATAAATATATATACATATATATATTATGAAATGTTTTATAAAGATTTTTTATAGTGCTGTTATTAATATTCCATCAATTATTTTAGATTTTTTTATTTTTTTGAATCCCTATTTATAAAATTTTAAATTCTTAAAATTTTTTTTTCCCTCCAAATAATACTAAAATTATTATTGGAAAAATATTCCACCCATTCAATTGAATGCACACCCACACACCCCATTTTTCCCTCCAAATAATACTAAAATTATTATTGGAAAAATATTCCACCCATTCAATTGAATGCACACCCACACACCCCAAAAAGCCTCTCTCCAAAAAATCCTAACAAAACTCACGAAAGTGATTACTATTTCATTTCCACATATTTGTTCATGACCTGAGAAAATAAATGTTCGGTTACCTGTTCCCGAACAAATAAATAATGTTTGAGCCTGTGTTTCTGAAATTCAGTCATATGTTTGACAGTTCAGTCCCGAAAAAATGACGAACAATTTTTATTATTTTTGCCATTTTTTTTTCAAGAAAACCTACCCTTATAAAGCCAATTTCCTTTGAATTAAGAACACCATCAAAGTTATAAATCTCCTTTGAACTTTTATTGTTGCACTTCTTTAGTCTCGTGGAGTTATGGTTACTGGACATACATTCACTCATTGTCATTGCAGGAAAAGTGTAGGTAATCAAATGGTTACCACCGTTGCTGCCGGAATATTGCCGCTAAAGAATTTTCAAAGTTTTGAGGATGGGTAGGTTTTGAAGGTGAGATTTGACAAAGATGGATGGGTGGTGATGGAGGTGCACTACAAGAAAATGCACTTTAAGGTTTTTAGTCATTGAAGCCTTTTCCCGACTAAATATTTTGGTAGCTAGATTTGTCGCGGGAAAACAGTCGGGGAAGGTTTTGGCGACTAAAAAAAATTTAGTTGCCAAAAGTCCTATAAATGGCTACTAATGTTTTAGTAGGGAAAAGTACGAGGTATTGGCGACAAAATATTTTTTAGTAGCCAAAAGTCATAAATTGGCGACTAAATACTTAGTCGCCAAAAGTTTTCAAATAAAATTAATTTTCATTTTCAGTGACTAAAACTTTTAGTCGCCCAAAGTATCATTTGTTATTAGCTACTAAATATTTAGTCGCCAAAAAAAATTAATTTTCATATTTGTTTTTAGCTACTAAACTATTTCGTCGCCTAAAGTCTCATATATTTTTTTACTACTAAATTTTTAGTCGCCAAAAAATCTTTGGTTTGTTTTTGGATACTAAATTTTTAGTAGCCAACAAGTTTTATTTTGTTTTTTTTTTTTGCTACTAAACATTTAGTCACCAAAAACTTTATTTAGTGTTTTTTTTATTATTATTAATTTCTGCACAACCTGTATTTATTTCGTATAACTTGCACCCTGTATATAAACAAAACAATACATATGTCTATTTTTATTTCACTTTCAACCATCCAAAAATTTGGTCTTGTAACATCAAATTCTATACAAACCAAATATAATCCAGCCCAAAATAATAATTCCATACAAACAGATAATCATACAAAAATGATGTCCTCCATATACAAAAAAGAAATATCCACTAGTAATCTATACCACTAGAAAATAACTTCATCTCTGTTGGATCAACAACTATTGCAGTAATTGGTAGTGGAAAAACTCGAGTTTGTAAAAGTCTTCCAGTAACAAGGTCCCATACCTACAATACAAAAATAAGTCATTTCAAGAAACAAAAATACTCATGCTAGGAAGATATTATTATGAAACATTTAACATAATTAAGTAACCTTGCATGTGCCATCGAGGGAGCTTGATAAAAAAATTGAACTTGAGCTTGATAAAACATTTATCAAAAATACTCATGCTAGGAAGATATTATAAAGAGCTTTTTCTTTGTCAATACTTGGACTGGACTTTTTCATTAATATAATCAAGACATATACCTAACCAGTACTGGATGCATATGATTAATAAGATAGGAAAAAGTAAGAAATGTCTCACTCCAAAAGGATTTAGGGATATTCAGGGTAAACAAGAGAAATCGAGCTAACTCAAGAAGATAATGATTCTTACGTTCAGTGACTCTATTTTGTTCAGAAACTAGTTCAACATTACGTCAATTACACCAGTGGCGTCGGTGTTTGGGCTGCCCTTCCTTTGGTGTTTTAGAGAAGCTATTTCCTAACTCAGTTAAACATTGCCATAGGAACAGTTTTGTTTGGGATGCATGTGAATTTGCAAAACATAAACACTTTGTTTATCCACAAATACAATCTACAGATTTATATAGAAATAAATATAATATAAGTTCCTATCACCAGATACTAAGTCAACCACAAGCAAGATAATAAACTAGAAGATATCTAGCACCTGTCCCAAAAACTTAGATTCTTCCATCTGATAAGCCAGTTTCAGACACAAGTTTATTGAAAAGCCTGATACCAACGAAATTGGCAATGGGCTAACTTCCCGCATCACCATTAGTCTCTCAGTTGACTGTAAGTTTGATCCAGGTAACAACTCTTGAACTCCAGCAGAGGTCAACCAAACTCGGTTTGGGGTGGGGTTGGGAGTAGGGAGCCCCTGCCCCAATCCAAGTATACATAACAAAATCACATAACAACCACTCTACCATCATGGAAAAACAAGTACCCCTTACCCATGTGCCTATAAACTAAAGCAAAACATTGGCATCAAAACATATTAAAAATGCATCAAAACTAACAAAAACACTATGAAACACACAAGGACCATAAGTTGTTTCAACATTTATCAGGAATCCCTAACAAAAGTTGTCTTTGTTTCTTATTTTGTTATTAGAAAAAAAAATGTAAACGAAGGAAATATTTCACTATTAATTGAACATATAAGAATGCTAAAATGGGGAAGGGGATAACATTCCGTCATTTGTCACAAGTCCTATTTGGCATGGGGAAGGTGTTCGTGTCGGCCACATGGCGGTTCGGGGGCTGTTTTTAATTTTCGCCCCTGAAACGCCGTTTTTCGACTAAGTTTTGGGCGTATTCATCTCTAAATCCCAACTTACGGGTCCGAATAACATTCCGTCATTTGTCACAAGTCCTATTTGGCATGGGGAAGGTGTTCGTGTCGGCCACACGGCGGCTCGGGGGCTGTTTTCAATTTTCGCCCCCGAAACGCCCTTTTTCGACTAAGTTTAGGGCGTATTCGGCTCTAACTTCCAACCTACGCATCCGAATTACGTTCCGTCAATTCTCACAAGTCCTATTTTTCATGAGGGAACTGTTCGTCTGAGCCACACGGTGGTTTGGGAGCTGTTTTGATTTTTTGCCCTCAAAACGCCCTTTTTTTACTACGTTTAAGGCGTATTTGACATTGTGTGAGACAGACAATTACCCGCCAATACATTTTCATATCCTAGTTAAAATACATGCAATTTCAATTCATATGACAAGCTAATTAAGTAAATTCGTGTCAAACTATGGAGAAAAAAAGACCCAGAGGCATGCAAGGAAATATAACTATAACTCAGAAATCTTACATGAACTCCAAGGTATGCACTGCAGAGTTTTAAATCGTGTCGAAGACGAGTTACTCCTCCAGTCCCAGTAGCAAGCATTAATTCTTCATTGCTTCATCTATTCTTTAGTGGCCTTGGAACAGAATTTGATAAACAATACCACATATACAAAAATTAATTCATAAATAGAGCACATATCAAATATAGACTAGTCAACTTATGTATGGTATAGCAACAGTAGGGAAACAAGAAGGAAATAAAATCAGAACATTCTTTTGTTCATGTTATTCAGCAAGGAAATACATTGCTCGGTTTGTTTGTTTGTTTGTTTGTTTTTTTCAATGAAGAACCTGATTTTCATTTTCTTCATCAATTTTGCTGATTCCAATGAGGAATGTGTTGAAATGTTTAAATCGACTCAAAAATTCAATGCAAACTGAAATAGCGAACCATTTCACTTCCATGTGACATCCTAAAACACATTTCAGAATAAACAAGATCAAGGAAATTTGCAAGGAACTTTGACACCAACTTGGCAGCATAGTTATTTCGAGAATGGAATGCTTGATACTTTAATGGACATATTCTTCTTCGGTCATGTAATTGGAGGTCCAACTGCAACAAATTTAGTTTCAAGTCGAGAACTCCACCATGGAAAGTTAAATAGATAGGTATTTTGGAATAGCATACAAATTTCAAGAGAATGCTCATTAGATGGTACATGACAAAAGGCGAGGAACCAAAACTCACCTCGGACGAAGCCAAAAACTGATACATTGCGCTCTGAACATGACATGAACAGAAAATTGACTTGTTTTTTTTTTTATAGGCCTTGTTTTTATATCAAAATTGATTTCAATCCCTGTAAAATAAAACAAAATAAAATAAGGAAATGATATAGAAGATCATTTTCTAAACCCACTTTCTAGAGCACACAAGACTAGCAACATGATGTCCCATTGAAATCAAAACCAATTTGATGCATTTTGATGTCCCATTGAAATCCCCTTCCATGATAAGACCATGAAAATAATAATAATAATAATAATAATAATAATAATAAAATCCACTTCAAATATCTTTAGCTCTTTGACCCAAGAATAACAGGTGCTTGGTACCACATTTCCCCACACATTTAATCTCTCAAGTAAATATACATACTTGGGAAGTATTGCTTTTGCTTTCAAGTTTAGGCATTGTAATATGACATAAGATGCAAAGAATGAACCATACCTCTCCCAAGATCATCAGGATCTGCATGCACAACCACTGCCCTCCCCAATATGGAATGTTGCCCCCTTAGCTACGGGTCCGAATTACATGCCGTCAGTTCTCACAAGTCCTATTTATCATGGAAAAATTGTCCGTGTGAGTCACACGATGGTTCGGGGGTTGTTTTGAATTTTCGCCCCCCGAAATGCCATTTTTTGGCCATGTTTAGTGCATATTCGGCTCTAACTCCCTACTTACGAGTCTGAATTACATTCCGTCAGTTCTCACAAATCCTATTTGTCATGGGGAAACTATCCATGTGAGTCACACGGTGGTTGAGGGGCTGTTATGAATTTCCCCTCCAAAACGCTCTTTTTCGACTAAGTTTAATGCATTTTCAACTCTAACTCCCAAACTACGTATGCTAATTACATTCCGTCTGTTGTCACAGGTCCTATTTGTGACATGAAAGGTGGCCGTGACATCCGTACGGTCGTTCGGGGGCTGATTCGCATTTTCGCCCCTTTAACGCCCTTTTCCAGTTAAGTTTAATGCATTGTTGTCCTATTGGAATTCAAGCGGAAATCATTTTCTTAACTCAAATTTTTTAACTAGCAAAAGGCTTTTCAATGGAAAAATTTTCACTGTGGGGAGTATGTAAACCAATCAAATATAGCAACCATTTGAGTCAAAATCAAAGCCATAAATGCACACCCACAACCATACAAACAACATCAATATGTTTTCCTCATTAAGAACGTGGATAACATATCTATCCCATAATCCACACCTTAAAGCCTTACCACTAATAGCAGTTCCCACCATCATTATGTGAGGGCCCAATTCCAATCCACTATCATAGAAAGAAACAAGAAGGCAACATAATTAATATCATATCTTCATACAAAGAAATACAATGACAAAATAATTAATGCTTCATCACTCTTGCAACTGCAACTCTATTTCACTTTTCTGGCATAGATTTTCCATCTCACAGAATTTAAACTACTAAATGTAGTTTGAAAGTAACAATACATGACAAAGTACAAGCAAACAAACAAACAAATCCTTTATTATAAGAATCCAAATAGAAAAGCCATAACAACTTCCCAAACCAACAATTCATGGGGGGCCAAAGAAACAGAGTGAACTCAAAGTAGAAGAAGAGAAATAGAAACCAAAAATATTGATAAAAGCCATTAATGGAAAGCTAGAATTAGAGCAAAAAGCGAATGACCCAACAGAGTATTATGCATTAGAAATCATACCTTATGACTATTATGCATTAGAAATCATATCTCCAATGGATGAACAAGAACTATCTATCACAATGAATCATTAGACATTCCACCTTTCTTCACAAACTTTGCTTTTTTAAAAGAAGATAGATTTTTTTTTTTTTCTTTTTAAACTTCAGCTGCACATTTCAGTAAAGAGAAACTTTGCATTGAGAAAATGCTTCAGAAATTTTAATGTTATTATCTTGATCATAATTAACACTGTCAAGTGTTGATATCCTGGTTCAAACAGCTAAACCATTAGTCATCTAGAAATTGAGAATAATTGTAAACAAACAGATCAACATGTAAATCCATTTAAAAGAATAAAATAAAAGATCATCAACCTCTTGCAGGCTTTCCTTGGCAGATTGGGCAGCATTGCTGGCCTTTTCCATCATCTGGTTGCCCTTTTGCTGAAACAAATATAACAAACATCTACACATCAATCTTCTTTTTTTCTTTTTTTGTGCTCTTAATCTCCTAACGAGGTGAAAGAGTTTTGACTAATTAAACTAACTAGTTAATTATGTGCATCAATTAATATGTGCCATGGATGTTGAGAAGTACATAATTGGAAAATAAAGAAGATAGAGAAAGCCAATTAAGCTCACCTGGGCTTGGCCCTTGGCCTGGCTAGCTTGATAACTCATGTTCTGTGAACTGTCTATTTTTTTCAAACTTCTTGGTTCTTGGTGTAACATATAATATATGCAACTATAGCTCAAAAACTCTGAGTTGTATATATACCAGAGTTACTGAAATTTATAGTTTTTGAAAGCAATCCATTGCTTGACATGTGTACTAACCATGTGGAAGGCAATTGGACAGCTGTTACCTTCTGCTGAAATTTGGGTTTTTGTCATTGGACAAGGGAGGGAGACGTTGTGGAGATCCATTATTCACTATCATCAGTTATTCTATTCAAACGTGGTTGCTATTTTAGAGGAGATTTGAAGAGTTCTGTTTAAAGAAAAGGTTCTTGTTTATGGCTTATGATATATATATATATATATATATAACAACATTGGAAGTTATAGCCTTGGAAAGGGAGAGCTTTGCCTATAGTGAACCACTGGTATATTTAATTGGGATTTTTATTGATAAGTCCAATTTAGAAGTGTTTTAACCCAAGAAGGCCATGAAGGAATTTTTTAACCCATTTAGTCCCATGTATGCATAGTTTTATTCCATAAAGTCCATTTTCTTGATTTACACTATTTTCTTGGACACTTATGCCCTTATATTTAATTTTGATACCCTTATAAATATTTTTTCAACGATTAGCAATTTAATGATGTGAAAATTCATATTTGTAGGAATGTAAATTGACCCGTGGGCGGCTCGAAACCCGCCCGCGAGCCAGGGCGGGCCCGGCCCGTTGACAATGTGAATATTCACATTGACATGTTAAAATTCACATTAATAGGAGTGTAAAATTGGCCCCCGTCCCGTGGCGGCGCGAA